GTGTAATTACTTCTGCGTACCTGAAACACGATCCAGCCTCCACTTTCTGTCTCCGTGTCACACAACACCTCCATACCGTTATACATGGTCACCACATGCCTGGCCTGACCTCCTGCTACGTCAATGCACGCACGGGGCTGGAAAGACAAATACAGTAAATCACTACCTCGGAATTATACAGTTCTAACTGACGTTTTGGGCCATTTTGAGGATTACTCAAGGTCAGAAACCAATCAATGTTCTTTTTTTAGTTTAAGTTGAGGTTTTAAGGCACTCGCAACTGCATACGGTCATATGAGCGCGAGAAGATTAGAGGTGTTACAAGAGAGTAACAAACAGAAAAAAGAAGAAGGGGAGATAAGGACGATAGATCTTTGATAGGAAAGAAGAAGCAAACCACACCAGAGCTCCCGCCAACCACCCACATCAATGTTCTGTCTTCCTCTACCAAAATTGTAAGATTATTTGGAGTCGTTGTCAAGATACTCAGAGAATTGCACTCGAAAAAGCTTGACATGTTGTGAAACTTAATTTCTTTTAAAATTTGCTCCCAAATTCCTCAAAACTAAGTACTGAGCAGACAGAACCTTGCAATTCTAGGGTAACGAAATGGAAGAAGACATAATGTAGCAGTAATTCCATTGTCAGGACTAATATATAATAGAACTGTGAGAACTCTAAAAGCGCTAGATTGCTATATCCCATACACAGTCTCTGCTTCGATGTTGGCTTTCGGTACATAATAATGATAATGACAATACTACTACTACTACTACTACTACTACTACTACTACTACTACTACTACTACTAATGATGATGATAATAATTATTATTATTATTAATAGCATTTGTATAGCGCACATCCGGTCTCAACAGCTCTATATTGCGCTTTAAACAAGATGTATATAATATTACCCCAGCAGAAACATTCTCAACTTCACGTGAAGCATAGGCCTCTATGCAAGCAGATGATCAGGCCTAAGCGCTCAAACACTAACAAACTGACAAGACTTTTCACTGTCTATAACTGGGAACCATTTCCCACCTGGGTGAAGTGCGGAAAATTCGTGTTAAGTGCCTTTCCCAAGGACACAACGTCGGGCCCCGGACGGGATTCGAACCCACGACCTTACGGTTGCGAGTCCGAGAGCCTAATCACTAGGCCACCCACGCCAGGTCTCATGTGGAGATCCTTCACGCCCAGGCCAACACCCTATCCTCCAAACTAGAAGACAAAAACTCCCCCCCCCCCTAAACCAGGGCCGTGCCGATGACTGAAGTTGTCTTTCGGTCATTCCAAAAAAAGGGGGCGGGGGGTATTAATATGTTCTTATACACAGCAGAATTGTAAATGGGCTGATTTATCAATGTCATGCTCATAACTGTGCCAGAAAAACATAGGGGGGACTGCTGATTTTTCTTTCGTCATCCTTACTGTCGTCATTTTCCCTCTACTTTTTTGTATGTTTGTCAATCTCTTGTGAACTGCTATTTCCGGGGTGCATTGATAGTCGAAGCATACTTTGTGCTGTTGAGGCTAGAGAGGTGAGCAGAGTAAGCCTGATTCCCCGTTTGGACTTTTGACATCCACCCTTTGGCAGTCTTTGACCGTATGCAGTTGCGAGCGCCGTAAACCCTAAGTAAAATTAAAACTTAACATACAAAAACTTTCATTACACTACGCAGCTCAAAAAAAAAAGAAAAATAAATAAATGGACATTTCGAATCCCATTCCTTGAAGACCAGGACAACATCAGCTTTTAAGGAAATGACACGGGGCAATTTCTTCTGATGAACTTTTTCAGCAGCATCAGCATCTCACCAATACAAAGATAAATTCAGACCTGACCACAAATACATGTCTTGAACAGACATGAAAAACTTCAAAATTGCTCCAAAAACTCATCCACGCGGAGAAAATTTTCAGCAATGGGTCTCTAAATCGGACTCAGCTGGAGGTGCTGCTTCCCTATCTACAAACAACTCCCCCCCCCCCCCCCCGAGCAGTGCTACTGACTGAAGTTGTCTTTAGGGCATTCCTGTAACGAGAACACTGACATATTCTTATGCACAGTAGAATTGAAAATGGACTGATTTATCAATGTCGTGCTTATATGTGCCGGAACAACATAGGGGGAACTGCTGCTTTTCTTTCCTCACCCTTTCTATCGTCATTTTTCGTCCACTTCTTTTGTATCGTTGTCAATCTCTTGTGAACTGCAATTTCCGGGGTGCCTTGATAGTCGAACCAGATTTTGTGCTGTTGAGGCTAGATAGGTGAGCAGAGTAAGCCCGATTGCTCGTTTGGACTTCTCTGTTGACATCCACCCCTTGGCGCTCATATGACCTTATGCAGTTGTGAGCGCCGTAAAATCTTCCTAAAACTAAAACATAAAATGAAACCAAGTCGTGCTGTGAACTTTAGAACGTGAAAACAACCAACTCGAATCCCGCGCGCTCAAACAAGCGTATACACTTGCAAGTACCGTAAAACTCTTACCGAACAAATAGAACAACAGCCATCACAACCATAATATCCTGTCGTACGCTGACAAAACGCGTACAATTCCCAGCAGTCTCGAGATAAAGAGGCTTTTACTTCAGTTTTAGTCATCGTAACCATTTTAAAAAAGACGTCCTTCTGACATTTGAATTCTAGGCCTAATTTTTTTTTAATAGAAATAATTTCACTTTTATTTTTTTTCTACACAAATAAGGTAACTGACCAGGCTATCAATTTCATCATTATCCAGTGCCACATCTGCGACAGACATCGGCAATCAAGGTTCTCCATTCATTCCTTTTCTCGGATGCTCTAAAAAAAGCTTCGTTTCCCTGATGTTTCCATGTTACCCATTTGTTTAGGTTCCCTAAGTATATTGTTTTGGGCCTACCCCTGCCCCGCTTGCACCTCAATTTGAAAGTGAGAGCTAGATGTTCAAGACCCTTATTTCTATTTCAGGTGTCCCAAAAACTGCATTTGTTGTTCCCTGATTGTTTTTTAACATTGAGCGTCCCACGTGGGCTTCATCAAACACTACCTCACTTGATTTCTTTTCCTTCCACGATACTCTTAGCAGTCTCCAAAGAAACCACATTTCTGTTGCTTCTATTTTATTTTCACTGTCTTTAGTGATTGTCCAGCTTTCACAGCCACATAGAAGGGTTGACCAAACATAGCATTTCAGAACTTTCATTTTGGTGTTCATTGAGATGTTTCTATTTTTCAGGATTGGGCTCCTTTTTATTGAAACTAGCCTTAACCATTGTAATTCTCCGTTTTATTTCTGTTGAACATTTGGCATCAGATGTTATCATATATCCTAGATATTTAAACTGTTGTTTGATGTTTGCCCCTTTGCTAATGAGATTACAACCAAGATTTGCTGCTTTTTTGGATATTACCATGCATTCTGGGTTTTTTTACATTCAACAATAATCCTTTACGTTAACTTTCTGTTACAACAATATGTAGAAGCAATTGAAGATCCTTTTCTGAGCCTGCTATTAAAACTGTGTCATCTGCATATCTGATGTTATTAATATTTTCTTCATTTACTTTGAGACCTGGATATTCTTCTATGTTTCTAAGGATTGTTTCACTGTACATGTTAAAGAGGTCTGGTGACATAACACATCCTTGCCTCACTCCTCGCCTAGTCTGCTTATATTTACTGTATTCTTCATTAATTTGTACAACCGCGTTTTGGTCTCAGTACAGTTTCCTGATAATTCTTAGATCTTTTCCTTCTATGTCTAGCTTTTCCAGTATTTTTAATAGCTCATCATGTCTAACTTTATCGAAAACCTTTGAATAATCTATGAAGCATAAATACAGATCTTTCTGTGCTTCAGTACACCTTTCCATTAACATTGTTAAAGTGAATATAGCTTTTCTGGTGCCCTTGTCAGGAACAAAGCCGAATTGTGTTTTAGATATATCTGGTCTTACACTTTTTCTCAATCTTCCCATTAGTACTCGAAGCAATATTTTTGTAAAATGACTCATAAGACCAATTGTTCTATGCATATCACATTCAGTGGCACCTGGTGTTTTAGGTAAAGCTACAAAAACTGATTTCATCATATCTTCTGGGATCTCACCGCTGCCATAAATAGCATTTAGCAGCTTTGTTGTTATTTCAGTGCCTAGTTCTTCAAGCGTGACAATCACCTCAACTGGTACATTATTTGGCCCTGTGGCTTTTTCTTGTTTCATTTCCCTAATGGCAGCCTGTACTTCTGCTTTCAGCATTGGTTGTCCATTTATTTCATTCTTTATTACCGTTTTTCTCCTCTATTATCTTTGAAAAGTTCTTCTAGGTATTCTGACCATCTGTTTAAGACATCCCCATTGTCCGTTAAAATATCTCCTCCTTTTGATAGTATGCATCCTGTATTTGAGCATCCTTTTATCCCACTTACTTCTTTGATTTTTGAATGCATGTATTTGCTGTTCTGGTTCTTCTCTATTTGTTGACACTGATCATTGATCCATGTTTCTTTTGCTCCGTTGCATTTTTTCTTTATTTCCCTATTTAAGATGTTGTACTTTTCCACTTTTGATTTTGCCTTTCTTCTCTCTTCCATTAGTTTTAATATGTCGTGGGTCATCCCTTTTTAATTAGTTTTTTTTTTTAGCTTTCGGGGGGGATATTTTCTTTCACAGCTTCCATTATTGAGTCTTTCATTTTCCTCCATAGCTCTTCCGATTTAGTAATGTTTTCCAAAGCTTGAAATTTATTGCTTACATCTATGGAGAAACGTTCTTTCAGTTCTTGATTTGTCTTTAAAAGACCTATGTCAAATTTTGGTTAGTACTTTGACTTTTTAAGTTTCTTCAGTCTTATCCGTATTTTACACATGACAGGTACATGGTTACTATCTCAGTCTGCTGCTGGCAGATATTTAGACGCTTTAATTGTATTTCTAAAACGTTTCTGAATAAGTATGAAGTCTATTTGATTTCTACTTCCATCGCAAGGGCTCTTCCAAGTATTTATCAATTTAGCAAATTATTTTTAAAAAGATAAAATAAAACAAAATGAAGCTAAAATTGAAAAAAAGCGTTTTATCAGCTTATATGGGGTGCCCATTAGGGGATCGAGTCTGGTCGGGGCGGTCTGCTAGCCAGATTGAGCGATCAAAGCGGCTATTGTGGCACAAGCCGATAGCGCCCGACTCATTGCCTAAAAAAAACCAAAGGCGACGAGTGGGGAGATCGGACCCGACACGCCATGGGCACCTCGTATAAGGCTACGGCAGAGCAGTGACACCAAAGATCGTGTAGCAGAGAATCTTGGGTAAACTACACTCACAGACTCACACACACACA